TGGATCCCTGGACACGTTGCCATTAAGGGGAATGAATTGGCAGATATTGCAGCTAAAACTGCAACCACAATGTACAATCTTCAGATTCCACTAGCAGGCATCAAAGGGTTTGTCAAAAGCAAAATCCTCAGCAAATGGCAAAAGCAATGGGATGACAAAGTATATAACAAGCTGAGAAATGTAAAACCCACCATTTGATACTAGCCATGTATGGCTAATAGAAAGGAAGATGTCCTCTTGATTCGACTGAGAATTGGCCATTGTCGACTGACCCATGAGTATCTTCTGAAGGGAGAAGAGAAGAGAATCCCAGCTGCCCAAACTGCAATGCAGATCTGACAGTCCATCATATCTTGGTGGAATGCCAGAGTTTTAATTATTTTCGCCAAAAACATTTTAATTGTTCAGAACTGGACTTTTTTACCTAAGCTAGAAGTTTTTACAAATAACTAATTGCATTGTTACCATTTGTCTGGCGCAGATAACCTTGACAGGTTTTGTGCCAAATTACAATAATCCAATCCAATCCAGACCTATTTTGAGAGGTTTTCTACACCGAATGTTCGTTTTAATGATATTGTATATTTTCCCAAACGCTATTTTTTTTGGGGGGGGGATATATAATACGGTATTTGCAGTTTTCTCAAATTTTGAAAACGTACAAAGTTACCCCTTTTGAACGATTTTCGGTTTCTACAGCGCTCTAGTTCCTAATGTAGATGTTGCAGAGATAGTTTTCTTGTCCAAATGCTCCTGGTATTCATAGAATCAGCAGACATTTCATTTTCCATAAATGTAATGCTCAAACATTTTGCAAAACAGTGAAATCAAATGCCGACTTTCCTTTATATAAACCTAACATTCAGTAATAGTTATTAATTTATATAAATTTTTAATAATATAATAGTTATTAATTTATATAAATTAATATCCAACTCTTACATATCTAATGCATACAGTGAAATACATGTGGGTTATGACAAAATTTGCGAGTTCCTTAATACTTTTGTTACCAATATCTTTAAACACGTAAAGAAATTTTTTAGGTAAATGACTTGTTGGTTACTATAGTGAAAAATTAACTGAGAAAATCTTTTTTTTTTTTACCTTCAACTTCATATTTTGTGCTATATAGTACCCTATAATCACTATGATATATCTTGAAAGAAAGGAATTAAAATCTGAGGAAATCAACAGATTGAGTTTGCTAGCATGAAAATATTAATAACTAGCCATATTTTGACAAAAACTCATTAAAAATTAAAAAGAAAAAAATTCAAGATGAAGTTGGAAAATTACTTATTTGAATACATAGTAGCTTTTAATATCCATTTACATAGATTTTAATTTTAAAATTTATGTCCCATCCATTATAAAATTGACTTGATTTCGATAAGAACGTAAGTTTAGTTCAGAAAATATTCAAGTTAAAAAATGCAGTTTATGCAATTTTGGATATAAATAAAAAAGCTCGATGGTTGTGTTGCCAAGTCACTGATTATGTTCCCTGTTTTATAAAGCTTTAGTGTGTGTGTGTGTGTATGTCATTATGGCAAAGCCTCGAGGGCTATCTGCCTAAATGGAGGGATGCCTTCGTGGAGGACTTTCTAAGGGAAACGGGCTCGTATACACTATTAAAGCTTTAGAACTTATTACTTTAATTTTTGTAGAAAAACATTCTAACGTAATACTTCTCGAAGAAGCCCCAATCGTGTTAGAGTGGTTAATACTGCTAAATACTGGTGGTTTGTCCTGGCTCGGGTTCGATCCCGAGCAAACGGCGTGCTTGTATGGTTGGGTTTCGTGATTTTCCATATGTATAACATGAATACGAATCAGTTCTCTTGGAAAGTCCTCCACGAAGGCATCCGTCCTGTTGCGCAGATAGCTCTCGTGGCATTGTGATATTCCAATACTTAAATTAATCCAACATCAAGAAGGAATCTCAATGCCAACCAGCAAAAATAAAAACGGGCAGACCACTAACTATTGAGAACTGTGTAAGAGAAGACCATCTAAAATGATGATTAAATTACTTTATAATGGTTAAAAATAGGACGCGAGATTTTAAATATTCAATTAAAACACCCCAAAATACAAGCCCTCATTGATATTTTCATGAAAGAAATAGCATTATTTTTAAGTTATTACGTTTTCCGTTATTAGCACTGCACGGAATCGAAAGGATGTGAAGGACTTTTTAAGGGAAATTTACTCATATCCGCGTTACACGTCGGGACTACCACGAAAACGCCTACGTATCCACCCTACGTATCACTCCCTAGAAGGGCAGAACTACCAGTGTTCAACAGCTTTTACCGCTTAGACACTGATGCGCCAGAAGTACCATTAAAGGCTACGATAACTTTCAGTTCAGTAATGTACGGATATTATTCACAAAATATGGAAGCTATTAAACACCCTGACCATATGTAACCACGCAGAATTTTGTTGATTTTCCGACAATGACTTAAAAAACTAGCAAGACGTTTAGAAAGTTGGCACAATTCAAACCATAATACAATCTATGACGGAAGTGTAATCTGTGCATACGTATTAGCACAACCAGTTCAAGAAAAATGTCGCCAAGTTTTCAGAAATCGGCAAAATCTAGCAACATATACCAGTAGCAAATATTGAGTCTTAATATCTTAATGATGGATGCCTACATTTTCAATTTGTAATCGGAGTTCTAACGAATTTTTTGGTAAGCATATCGTGATAGTTTCATTCTAAAATGAATTTTAAAATATACTCTTTTCGAATATTTTCGAAAGGGAAAAATAACATAAAATTTTTGCTTGGCCCCAAAGTTGCTAAAGATATAGTATGCTATGATATGGCACATTAAATTATTGCAAAGCACTCGAGGGCTATCCACCTAAGGGAAAGGATGCTGTCATGGTCCACTTTCTAAGGAAAACTGGCTCGTGTACATGTTACACATGGAAAAAAGCACGAAAGCGTCCATGCAGCCAGCCCGTTAGCCGGAATTCGAGCTCCGAACCGAACTGTCAGTGTTCAGTGACTTTACCGCTCAGCCGGCCCGGGCACAAAAATTGCTAAAGAAAACAACTGATTTACAACTATTTACGATTTACTGAAACAACTAATGTAAAGCGATCGCTACGAAATTTCCACTACGTTAAAGGGGGGGAAAAAAATCTTAAAAGCATGTGCATTGATTTTCGGAATGCCTAACTGAAACATATGTAACAGATAAAAGCTTGCAATTGCAAGTCTCATTCATTTTCTATAAAATCCAACCAAACTACGCTGAGGTGAATAGGTTAATACGTAAATACCAACAAAACCTATGAATGTGTTGGGAGAAGTACGGTAGCTCTCGGCCACTAGATGGCAGCATGAGTCAGTATAATCTAATGGCTTAAAAATAGCATGGTAATATTGAAATAATTTTATGTAATTAAAAATTAAGATGTCTGTAATTCTTTTATTGTTTGTAAGTAAACAACACTTCGGAAAACAAAATGCGTTATATTATGCCTTGTATGGTATCATTTCTTTTTCTTTATTTACATTTTCATATGCAACTGTGGTTTGTGGGTTTCTAACTGTAACTTGATATATACTGTTACTAACAAGCGCCTGGCCCCAGCCACCACCCCAAGCTCTTATTGGACACGACTTCTGATGTCATACAGTGACGAAAAGAATTTTTGCAGCATTTTTGTGCGCCAAAAGCTTGAGCTCGAGGTCATTTTAGCGCTGAAACAGGCGAAGCAATGGAATGAATATTTGCCATATTTGCGAAAAAATTACAAAAATAAAAGTAGCTTCAGAAATATATTGTTAATATACATAATATTAGAAAAAAAGGTGCAATTTGATGTGCAGTCGATAAACCGTTTAGCAGTATTTTGGTCATTAGACGAATATCGAAGTCATTTGACAATAAACACCTTTTATAAGATATAAAAGTTAAGAAACAAAACAATAATACATAAAAAACAGAATGATAACACAAATTGACAAAGTCAAATAAACGATATTATAAGTATTTTACGATTTAAAAGTATCTTATCACTTTATCTTATTTTTAACCATAAATGAGGAGAAATTAATGCCTAGGATTAGAAAGTAAAAAAATAATCTGACTACGAACAATTTTGATACCAAACAATCTCTATACAACAAGCAATAAATGAAAGGAAGGTAATTTAATTATCAAACAGTTCATTTTTATAAAGAAATAACTAAATTTTACATTTATATCACTTTTAAAAATACTTTTCTGCAAAATAAACCGCTAATTCATGAAAACTGCGGCAGACATTATTTACACACTAAGAGTTAAGTGTTATTTCTTGACTTTGCTGACGAAGCAAATCTTGTTAATGGTCTCCTTTTATATGAAATTATAAAATACATTTCTTAAATATCAGTATAGCGCTATGAATTGCATTGAATACGGATCGCTTAGCCAAACACTATTTACGCATTATAAAGTTTTATCTATTCCATTAACATGATTAAACAATTTATATAAAAAGTGCCGACATTTTCTTATACTGTTAGGTTCCTTTTAATTGCAAATATTCTGTTACATTGCACAAATTCACATTAACACAGGAAAGAACCAAATCCAAAGTAGTTATAAGTTCCCCTTGACATAACTCAAACGAAACAGATAATGGAATCTTTTCAGCCTGACGTCATAAACGGCAACCAATAAGAACAGGGGTGGTGGCTGGGGCCAGGCGCTTGTCTGTTACTATGTGCTTGACCGCGTTGTATGTTTTTTATGTGATAGGTTTCTTCGAGAAGTTATTATCTAAATGGACTAACCAGTAGTATTTTATTTTATCCTTAATAAGTGCATATGTAAGCGAATGACGTTATATGCCTTAAACATCATTATACGCAGTACTTGGAGAAATGCTGGTACTTTCCAGTTGAACCGAACGCGTGTAACTATAAATGCAATAATTAATATTTTTTTAGGTTCTAAATTAGTACATTTAAAAAGGAAAACTTACAACTTTCTTCTCGAACAATTATCTCTGAGGAATTAGAGGAATTACCGACAACATTGCCGCCAAATATTTCAAATCTGTAAACAACACCTGGAAGCATGCCTGTAAAACTATACGATGTTTCTCTGGAAGCAGAAACTTCTTTTGTTAGATAAGGTCGAAATGGAGATGAAGCGCGTATCCAGTACTGAAACTTTTCACCATTTTCATATTCAGCAGGAATATTCTGAAATAATTAACGAAATTTTACACAAATGGAAAACCGCAAAAATCAGATTCGAGCAATAAAAGCAACAGGTACTAAGAGCACTTACTTTCCAATATATAGTTATTGTTCTTCGATGAATATAACGGAATAGGTTTAGACTTTTTTTAGCTTCTTCAAAATCCTCAATTTCACTGCTAAACGAGGAATTGGCAATTTCTGGTGCCCAGTATGGAACTAAAAATTTGAATACAATATAGTACATATTAAAGGATATTGCTTTACAATTAAAAAATGCTTTTATGTATTAAAAATGCTTTTATGTATTAAAAATGCTTTTATGTATTAAATATAAAAACGCCACTCAACCGGGATGGTGGTTAACGAAGCTGACTGCCTGGGTTCGAACCCGGGAAAAGGCATGGATGTTTGTAAATGTATAGTGTCCGTGCGGCATGGGGGCACTCTAGATATGCGGTGAGCCGAAAGTCCTCTCGGGAGGTTAATGCTAGGGAAGTGTGTTTCCCTCGGACAATTCTCTCGAGGTGCTCCTCATCAAATGAAAGCTTCGCAGAAATTGATTTTAGGAGCCATTTTCAGAATCCTCAGAATTTTTGGAGATATTTATAATAAAAGGACAAACATTTTGCACGGGTAAAAAAGTAACAGTCGCTACTTTAAACGATTCGTCACTGAAAACTACAAAGATTTACAAATCATTACGGAAAATAAACTTATGACCAAAGGGGCATTATTTTCACTTGCACACACACACGCGTTTCGAGAGCATTTGGACTAAAAATATTTTAAAACAGCATATCTTTAGAATTTCTGATAGACAGTTTCGTGCGCTGGAGTTTTTTTTTTTTTTTTTTCATACGGTATTGTCATTGCCAGCTGTGAAATAGTTGAGTTAGCTAATCAAAAATTCGTTAAAGTCTTACAAAATAAGAAATAAACAATGAAACATGTTCCAAATTCGGGCTTCCATATGTTCCTACTCGGGTGGAGGATTGCGTCATTCAAAATTTGATGGCTCTAAGTAGCGCTGTTTTCTCATAGTGGGAGAAACATGCATACATTCATACAGATTGTTCATTATACAATTTCTTTATTCTTATACAGGGTGATAAAATTTGGTGCCAACAATTTGAAGAGCGAAACGGACATTTATATTGAAGCGACGCAAAATGCTGTTTCGAGACTAATAGCCCTTCTGAGATAATGATCCTTTGGGCTAAAAAATAGTTTTAACTGAAAACTAGATTGCAGTATATGTTGAAGTCTGTAACAAATTGAAAGTACAGTTCTTTCGTAGCGGCTAATTATCTGATATTTCGAATATTGTGGAAAAAGTATAATCCCTCAACAAGTTATTCAGTACAAAATAAAGGATTCAAATGAAATGTACACCATAATTTATATATGCACAGAATAGGCTGAAGTAAAAATTCAGGACAATTTATGTATTTAAGAAGCATCAGAAAGGTGGCTAAAAGCTTTACTTTCTTACAGATTACCAGTTATCTCAAAAGTAATTTAAGTTACTTAAGTAAGTTATGAAAATAATTTCGTCGCTGTAGGTAAAAGTTTGGGAATGTAAAATTAAATTTTCATATTCCTTTACATATATAAGTCCATTTGAAATACATTTATATAGCTTTAGCGAATTAAATTCAAAACATGCGATACCCTAATAAACTCCCGAAAATAGGCAAAATCATTTTTGATTCAGATACAGATACTCAATGCAGAAGCATTAATTATTTAAACCAACAACTTTCTTAGCTGTTTCTTAAACGTACTCGAAGATCTCAAATTAGTTTGCTTAGGCAATGAATAATTTCTTGAAATGCAGTGCAAATTCTTCAGCTTCATTTGTTTAGTTGATCATCGCAAAGCACTCCAGAGCTACTTTGCTTAGTGGGAATCTAGCTTGTATTCATGTTGCATATGCACAAGAATATCATGAAAAGCTTATCCTGGCAGCTCCGAGTACTGGATTCCTTTTCGAAGCACTAGGGATTAATAAGGTTTTTACGTAAATGTTATATCACATACTGTTTTTGTTTTGGCGTATTTTCTAGGCTAGACGCTGCTAGTGTGATTTAGATTTTCTTAGCGATAGCTGTTTTTATAGTCATTTATCGTGAAACTACATTTTTCATTTAACCAGTTCAACACATTTAGCGATTTGAGACTCGGCCACGTTAGAGAAAATTATCACGCATGCACTTGCCATTTTCCGATTGCTAGAGCGAGTATTGTTACGAAATGTACAGGCATGGTAAGATACCTTCCCCGCAAAGCAGTTTTAGGGTTGCCATAAAATGGCAAGGGTAGGCATGGTTGCCACATTTGGCGATAAAGTTGGCGATATACCATGGACGGATAGAGAACCTTCTGGAACGAGTTCTTACCGGTTTAGTCCAGAATGTTCTCGAACACAAGCCGAAAGCTATATAAACCTTGCTGGTTCGCATTCTGAGGGTGTGCTTCATCGAGAGGGCGAGTCAGAGTGCCTCGTCTGGAGTGCGAGTTAGTTAGTATCGAGTGTGTCTCGTCCAGCAAGTCAATTCCTGGAGTCGATCGAGTTGACAGCCGGGCAGCGAGTGCCGAGTGGGTCGTCGAGTACACCGAAGGAGTCGGTTAGTGTATCGCCGTTAGTGCATCGTCGAGAGCGCGTGTTGAGCTCCGGGAAAGGCTGAACCGAAGAGTCAGGAGCTGTGCTCGTGTGTCGTCGAGTGCATCGCGAGTTGCAACGTGGCGAGTCTCGAGAGCACGTGGAGTTCCGAGAACGACCAAGCAGAATCGGGAGCTGTACTCCGGAAAGCAGAGTCGGGTGCTTTGCAGGAAGCTTTCTCGCCGTTATTGCCTGACAGTGTGAAGGCTGATTGTACCAGCGTGTTTATAGTAGATCTTCGACGACTGTAAAAGTGTTTTGGAGCTGTCCTCATTAATATTGATAAATAAAGTGTATTTCGATACTTCATCCAGTGTCGTCGTTATTCACTCCAAATCCACGAACCCCGTACGAACGTGAAGGAAGAAAATAACGTAACAACTGATGTCAGAAGAAAGAAAAACGCAACAGTATAAATCTTCTGATTTTCAACGACCGGATGCAAACTTTTCACAGTGAATCACTTTTAAAATTTCGTTGATTTGGACATCCGGTTTAAGATACCACTGTTGGGGGCTTCTGGGATACTGTAAAATGAGGTAAAGAGGCCAAAAGTAACTACCTGAAAACATATTACATTTTGAATTCCTGAAATAAAGGCAACATGTTTTGGGCAATGCTGAATTGTATTTTTTATTTTGTACCTCTTAGTCTCAATTCTTTTTCCCTTATTTTATCACTTTCGTTATATTTGTGCATTTTATTGAGCCTCTTTAGATGTAATAAATTTATATACATTTTGTTATTAGCTCAAAGGCTAATAATTTCGTTTTGGCATTTTGCGTTGAATACTTTAAGTGTCCGTTTCACTTATCAAATTGTTGCCAACAATAATTATTGCCCTGTGTTATATTTAAAGAAATTAAATAGTAAAGAATCCACATAAATATATACATGTTTCTCACACTGTGATAAAACGAAATCAGCCTATATGCAGTTTAGTCGTAAATTTACAATCCCTTTTTTCACGGGGGGAATCTGAAAAGGAGGGGATAATCTTGCTCGGGATGGTGAGAAAATGTGGGGGGCCGTTTAAAAATCTAACTTCTCTGCATTCAGTTTTATACAGAGGAAAATACAAATTGAATTCTTCGAATGAATGCAATTTTGTACAATGAAAACGTATTCTTGAACGATAAACTGTAAGGCAAATAACGTCTTTTTTCTAAAGCCATAGGAATAGAAAGACAGATATCAGTTATATCAATGAATTCATAGTAAATATTGGGATTTTCATTTCGAATTCTATGTTATATGTATGCAAAGTATCTAAGTATCTGAGAAAATAGTCTTAACCCAAATGGCTTTTAACTTTATCACGCCTAAAGACTGTTTTTCAATTACATTGTGGTCGCTGCTTTTTGGTTAATTTTCTAATAATATATAAACATTCATTTGTTTTTACTTGAGATTTATGAATAAAATAACGCAAACTAGACTGCAGATAATTCTTCAGAATGAAGTCAATAATACTGAAAAATACATTATTGATGCACTTTTTGGTTTTATATGTAGTAGTTAATATGGAATCCTTAAATTATATATATATATATCCCTAGGTATAAATGAAACAAAATATAGAACAAGGTATAAAATATCAAAGAAAAATATTTTTAATATACAATGTTCATTACGATACGTATATTTATGCAATATCAATATAAATGGTTAGTTAGGTTTCGTACATGTATAATTTATTTTTATATTTTGTATTTTTTGTATTATATTCAGTATTGTATACGTATCTGAAATTTAATTTTACTTGTTCTCGTTTTGGGTTACTACTTTAAATGAGAAAGAATTGTTTGGGCTTTTATAGGGATTAAATTATATACAATTAAGACCCGACTTTTCCCTTCTTTTAATAATTATATATATATAATATACTATTTTATAAGTATACATAAAATATAGCAGTTTTTTAAGCTACATATTTATATATCTATTGTTTGGTCTGGTTTGTTTGATTATAACAAAGCATTTGACTGCTATTTGCCCGAGGGTAAATATGCCTCGTGGAGGACTCTCTAAGCAAAACTGACTCGTATGCACATTAACATGGGAAAAACCACGAAAACGCCAATACCATTACGTCCGTCGGGATTCAAACCCCGGGTCGACCTACCAGTGTTCAACGAATTTACCGCTCAGCCGCTGGTGAGCCACACACATACACATCCCCACATATACATTCAATTATATTTACATGTCGTTTATAAAGTATAATAGAGTGCAATTTGGACTGATTGAATGGAAAGATCGGTTTGTTAATTCATTCCTAGTTTCAAATCGGATGCATGGACTCGGAAAAAAAAAAAAAAAAAAAAAAAAAAATTGCACATTAAAATACGATCACTGAACTAAAGTGAGCTATTAAAATTATAACGAAGGTTTCGTAATTTATCTTATGAAAACAAAGTATCAGAATATAATTAAATGTTTTACTTCTTAGAGTGTGTGTGTGATTATGGCAAAGCCTCGAGGGCTATCTGCCTAAGGGAAGGGATGCTTTCGTGGAGGCCTTTCTAAGGTAAACTGGCTCGTATACACGTTACACATGGGGAAAACCACGAAAACGTCCATGTAACCAGCCCGTTCGAGGGATTCGAACCTCGGACCGAACTACCAGTGTTCAGCGACTTTACCGCTCGGCCGCTGGTGGGCTTTTACTTCTTAGAAAAATAGAAAATATGAATATTTGTGAATAAAAAGAAATAGCTTTAAAAAAGTAAAATTTAAATTTACGAAAATATAAAAATTACAAAATATTGCAGAAATTAGATAAAATAGCGAATAAACTTATTCGTCACAAGCTCGCTAAATGTAAAATGGATTCTGCAGTCAGAAAGCTCTCCTTGTCACAAAAATATAATATTCATCAGGTTTAACTGTTATTCAGACTAAAGTGCGAAGTTCAGGGAGTAGCATGCATTTTCCTTTGAATGAATAAACTAGCCCCCCCCAAAAAAGGGGGGGCACTTGAAAATTAGATGCAAAGTTAACAAATGGATTGAACGAGCTCTCCTACAGCCTACCACTATGTGTAAGGATTTTCGTGGATTTCCTTAAGGTATATAAATATGAGCTCATTTTCCTTAGCAAATTCTCCATGAAATCATGCCTTAGACACACCTTGTATGCTTTGCCTTATTTAATTAAATAAGCACACAAAATCAAAACTAGGATACTTTCCATAAACAATTAGTGCTAATTAGTGCTGTTCATCTGCAATTGGATTGGAGTATTTGTTTATAGCAGTGCTTTTCAGCCTCTTGTGTAATGCTTACATGTATGTAATGCTCAGGGGGGCGAAAAAGGAAATTCCTAGACGAAAATAATGTAATAGTGAAATGTTAATAAACAAATAAATATAATCATTAAATTAATTTGATAATTATAAATTAATTTGCAGTTATAAGGAAATGTATGTTATTTATAATCCCCCAAAAGTGCGTACTAATATTACGAGTACGTATTAAACTATATAATAAATACATAAGAGAACATTTCAAAACTTTTCGCACCCTATGTAATTTGTCTCCATTCTAGTACCATAAATTAAATAAGCACATTACACATTACGGACTTTCGGGACGCCACCGATAAACAACGGTACCTAGAGCCATCCAATTTTCAATAATGTAATCCTCCACCGAATATGGGCCTCTGGAAGCTCTAATTTGGAATTTGTTTTATCATCGATTTAATATTTTATAACTCTTTAACGAATTTTTAATTGACAAACTCAACGATTTCAAAGCAAGCAATGGTAACACTGTACGGAAAAAAAAAAAAAAAACATTTTTATCTCCAGCGCGCGACACTGTATCAGGCACTCTAAAGATATGCTCATTTTAAAATTATTTCGCCATATTGCTGTTGAATTGAATTTTATGATTTAAGTGCGAAAAATATGATATTTAATAAATATGGGTAACACACTAAACGTTAAAAATCACCCCTTTGCTCGTAATGTAAAATCTGAAAACTAGCAGACTTTTCTTTTATCATTTATTACCATTTGTTTTTATATTCTATTATATATTAAATATATTTTTATTTCTATTATATATATTTTTATTTTCTATTATATATTTTATATAAAGGCTTCTGCCACCTCATGTTTAGTTTAACGATTCTTTTTTCTATTATATACTTTCTATCGTTATTCTTTAGTTTTGTGCACTCGACTTAGTCAGGTAAAATGCAATAAATATAAAGTGCCTTTTACCTACATTTGATTTTATTTACTGCTTATCCTTTTGAAAAGGAAGGTCCGTGGTGACACGTACAAGAATAAAAGAATAAATAGCAACAGAAAGTTGGTAAAAAGTAGTGAAAATATAGCAAAAAAGCTTGGGGAATGGGATGGTTTGGCTTAATTTTGGCAAAGCACCATCTGCTTAAAGGGAGGATGCTTTCGTCGAGGACTTCCTAAGGGACACTGATTCGTATACACGCTACACATGGGGAATACCATGTGAATGTCCATGCAGCCATCCGTTCGCTGGGATTCAAAGCCCAAAAAGAACTATCAGTGTTCAGCGACTACGCGGCCACTGGTGGCGCCTTGGAGGATGGGAAGTCTAACAACGAGACATAGACGTGGGGGAAACCAAAAACAGGCAATTACGTCTCAGAAAATGCATGGTACGATTTAATGAAAAGTATTTCAGCTGGCAATCGCACCCATTGTTTTGCATTTGAGCCTGGAATGTTTCAGGTTAGGATACAGAAAGTTCTGCATATAACTCAGGGGTATATCTTAAATAGCTGGAAGGTTTAATCAACAGATAATATGTATAATAAAGCACAACTTATCTACAAAGGTTTCTCGTCTCCAGTTCTGAAGTTTTTGATAAAATGCTCCATCTTGCTTAATAAATACAAGATGGGTATCATTTTTTAAAACAGTTTGAATAATCCTTACTATCAGGAGGTGTAGTCATATAAAAACCTTTAGAGAACAACCAAGCTGAATCATTTTGTTCACTACATGGCCTGCAGCGAAAGATAAATTTATATCTTGTATTAGGTATCAAGTTTAGTAACTGTATAGAGTCTGTTGGTGAACCTGGCCATGCTTCCTGAAAAAAAAAAAAAAAAAAAAAAAAAAAAAAAAAAAAAAAAAAAAAAAAGAATTTTTATTAGAAATGCGATTGACTAAAACAGTTTATTTCAAGGTAATAGGGTATAAAAGTACTTATGGAAAATCCCGTCGACCACAAGAGACGGCGCCAATAGCGCCAACCCCCCCCCCCAAAAAAAACATTTACTAAATACAAGAAAAAAGGTTATATTCTTACAGTTCTTTAAAATTTATTAAATTATCATTTATTTATATTTAATTTTTCATTGAACCGCGTTCCCTTTCGAACTGACACTCGTTTCGCACAAGCCTTAACGTTGCAACGCCATTGCTTCTCAGTTTTTAAATAAAGCGCCATTTCGTGGCCATTCACACATTTTTTTAAGGCCGGTATGATTCCATAACTTTGGAAATATTCAACAGTATGCTCCTCTGTAGTAGTGTAATGAAGGTTACACCAAATCCAGCGTGTTTGAAGAAGACTATTCCATTTTTGGCGAGAAATCGCGTAGTTTGGCGTCTTTTCTTTAATAGGCAAAAATGGTCGACGGGATTTTCCGTAAGTACTGGTGTCAAAATTAAAAAGGAATTAAAGATGTTCGAAACAAATGTTAATGCAGCATATTAATAAATAAAACAGGGCAACAATATACAACGGAAGCTTATTAATGGCAGATTAGACATATTACAGGCATAAATCAGCAAAATAGAGTGTAATGGCGAGATAATTAATGCTGCATATTTTGAACTGGACGCGTTAAATATCTTACATGCAGCTATAATGTATAGTTATAGTATAAAGCACGCAGTTAAAGTACCTTACTGTTAATTTAAGCACTTGATCTTTATAGATTCAAATAGCGAAGTGTACGTATATGGATAAGTTAATTACGTACGTTGAAATAGCAACCCAAAAGATTTTAAATGAATTTATCAGATATATAATTACTGTTATTATAAATAATTATTAATTAAATTTAGCAACAACTAATTTTATGAAAATTATAGAAATATGAATTCATTATTACACTGCTTTTCATTTACTTAATAATATATGGCAAATAGATCCAATAGCAACACGTAAGACTGACAGTGTGAAGTTTACGTGGATGATAAAGATGTTATGCCAATGAACTGATGAATTATTCTACAGCAAAGTTAAAATCTCTGGTAACTTAAGATTCTCCATTTTTTGCAACACATTAACTTAGACATATCTAACATCAAAGTACCATAAAAGCTTGAAGTTTATTCATTCCTAATAATGACCATTCTTGACTTCTGCATTTTGACAGAAAAATGTTAAAATGTGTCTGGATCCATTTTCAAATGCTTAAGGGAAAACAATTTTAACCACGTGTAAATTAAATTAAAAAATCACATATTGTAAAAATTAATAATTCTAACCTTTTCCAAAGTCGCTCTATTCTTAATTTAAGATAATATTTCGCAAAAAAAAAAAAAAAAAAATTGGTATCCAGTCGACCGGCCAAGTAGCGCGTTTTAGCGCCGACCAACTTCCTTTAGAATTCCGCAGTACCGATTGGTGATCGTTCTTCAAATTTCCATCAACGGTCGACGGGATAATACGCAAGTACCAAGAAATTAAATTCAAAACGCTTGGCTCTCCGAAAGACAAAATTGCCAGAAATGTTAATTTTATAATTTGATATCACATTCACGGCTTGCATACAAATTGAACGGCGAAATGTTTGCAAGTATACGTAACTAAAAAGAAATATCAACATGGAAAAAGGGTTGATACGTAAATAGATTCAGTAACAAGATTGCTACGCAGATTGTGGTGAAAAATATTGTTATTCTATTTTATATTTGTTAGGTAAATGTTAAAAATACCTCACCAGATTACTCTTTTAGTAACAATTACGGTGATATTGCATATTAAGTAACAACATTTATTACTGAAAAAAGTAATCAAGATAATGAATACTAAAATGCAAAAGAAGTGTACAACTTAACAATTGGTATCCAGTCGACTTTCAAATAAAGGTACAACTTTCAAAAACTTTCAATAAAGGTGCAACATTTTTGCACAGCTGTACTGTCAGGAAAAATTGCTATTTTCCTCTAGGAATGTTAATACAATGCTACCACTACGGTGGATATTAAATGCTAACGAACGAAAAAAGGAATGTCAAATTAAGTATTGTTACATCAAGGATTAAAAGAGGACATGCCAAAAAGCCCGTTAGATAAGGTATTAAAGAGCAGGTGCTGCTTTTTCATTCTCTCGACATCTGGTATGGAAGGCATGTTGTCAACGTCAACTATGATATTAAACGTCACTTAATTGTAGCTCTAATGCATGGTTGAATAAAGTTCGAACAAATTAGAAGATATACTAATTGAACTCTTTATTTTTGCATTGCAGCGATATAACAGAGTTGCACAATAAATTTTGTATATGAAATAAGTATTTTGATGCTAAGAATTTTGTATATGAAATAAGTATTTTGATGCTAAGAATTTTGTATATGAAATAAGTATTTTGATGCTAAGAATTTTGTATATGAAATAAGTATTTTGATGCTAAGAATTTTGTATATGAAATAAGTATTTTGATGCTAAGTTCTTTTCTTTAACGTTAAGTTTATATTTGATGACCCCAAGTTATTTAATTTAGTAAGCTAAGAATTTGAAAAATTACAAAATCATTGGCTAAGACCTTTTTATCTTCGAAACTGCAAATTAAATAATTCTTAAATAAAAGGAAATACCTTATGTTTTGTTTCATGAACAGGATGATACTGGATCTTGTATTTTAACGAAAGATGAGGTTCACAATGATATTTATTTTCAGAAGGAACATTCCAGTGAAGTATCACAGAGGATGGCTTAATATCGGTGAAATACGTAGTTAACGTTCCTGAAATAATTAAAAATTCTTTCAGATTTTATACAACCTGAAATAGGCTTTACAATAAAATAACAACTGACATCCTATAAAATTTTATTGCACTTTAACTACGCTTCATTTTAAATATACTCTAAAAATATATTTCAAGCGAATCTTTGTTTTAATACACAGAAAAAAGACCATGTCTTAAGAAAGAGTTCATGAAACGTATAACTTAGGAAGATTTGCTAGACTTTTCCCATTTTGGATTATTAACCTTTTCATAATCAATTTCTTCTTTCCATTTTTTTTTTCATTATGCAATGTATTCCAATTTTATGTAAAATAGGTTAAACGTTTTAAAAAGTTTTATATAAGGGCCGTTTCTGAGGGGTAGTAGAATAAAGATATTCCAATGGGTTTTTAGTGGGAAATGAATATGCTCGGATGGGTGTACTCCAACTGCGCTAATGAAAATGCCCGCCCGGGTCGAGCTATAGTCCAACAGCGCTAATCAAAATTTCTTCCCCCTGCTGCCTACAGGGTTACAATTTAACTTTTCGAAGCCAATTGTAGCCAAGAGGAAAATAAAAATAAATAGAATTACATATAACAAGAACAAGTAAAAAATATCTAACAAGCAGGCTAATTACTTGAATAACTAATAAATGCGAGAGCTAAAAAAGAAAATAAAATATCATAAATTAAATAATTATAAAGCATACAAATTATATTTTTAATAAATTACATCAATAATAGTCAAGATGGCTGAAGTAGAGTGGGAAATTAATTCAATAGCGTGCAAAAAATTATTCCATATCAAAGCGTGTTAAAGTGTGCTAAAATATTTTTGTTAATTAAAGTAATAATGTAAATGTTTGCAGAAATTAAATTAGTTAATTTAAAAAAAGCTTAGCAGAATCTATTATAACAGCATCTATGCATTGGAACACTGACGTATAAATGTAAATAAATTTAAAACTATTATGTAAGAATTTTTTTCTAAAATGTATCTAGAAGAAAGGAATTAGATAAAAAATACTGCAAATTAATATAATCAATCAGGCCTCTCAATAAATAAAAGTTATTTAACCAAAAATTAAAAATTGGGATGCAAAAGTTGAGAACTACTTGGAATATCTGAAATATAATTAATTAGAAAGTATAATTAAATTAATAAAAAGCTAATAACAGTAACATAAGCTATATTTCATTCAATCTAAAAACAAGCAATCGATCAGGAGCTCCGCATAATGAAGTTTTAATGCTATTTTACGTAGATTTGCGATAAAATAAAAATTGCATTGTGAAACAAGTGAATAATGTACTGATAATCAACAGGAATTAAAACAGTGGTTAAAATATAACTATTGTCAGAAGGTATGCAAAGTTGCCATGGCTAGAGAAATGAATGATTGTAGAAAACTCAAATTAAGCGCTACAGTGTGAAAAGAAAATTCTGCAATAAACATGTTGAGAAATTAGATGGAGAAATAATCCTTAATTATTGATATCCATATAACTCTATGCTTTTGAAAATGTTACATATAATTTGCACCGAGGTATCAATCGCCGAAACAGAGTTAATTTCTTTATTTTTCTTATTAGAGGGATTGTAAAAGATATGCTAAGGTAAAGGTGTGAAAACTTTTGCAATATTTTAAAGAATAATTAAAAATGTATTTTTACTTCATGAACTGAAATTTTACGCTACATTTTTACACAGTAATAAGTACAAAAAAGAAAAGCTGGGGATCACTGGGACTAGAAACTCTGGTCGAACTACCAATGTTTAGTGACTTTCCGCTTGATCATAAGACCTTTTGAAATTAGGCAAACAATATATAAGAAAATAGAAGATACAGCACACGTACGAACAAAAGGGGGCTGAATTAAGATTATATGTTGATGAATGAGTTTTTAAACTACCGTATGCCATTATAAAAATATAGGAATGTAGCATAAAAAATGAGGGAGAAGGCAATGGCAATCTAAAATCTTGTAATCTAAATGTATAACATTATCAGTATCTGCTATTAATTTCAATACTGCTGAAAAATTATAATGAATTATGTTATAAATCACACGAACTAGTTGCATTATAAATTACAACAGTTAGAAATATTATAGTGTGATTTAGCGACCATCTTGTTAAAAAAATTTCAATAATTAATTTTACAATATTCAGCCTGAAACTAGGTTAGAAAATAAGTCATGCGAAGATTAAGCTTTACCAAGGGTTAGATATATTTCCTTAACTAGAGTTATGATGCAAGGAGAAGTCCAATTTTTAGATTTAATAAAGAGAATTATTTTTAATTTAAATTAGAAATGTTTACCTAAAATGGTAAATTTGAAAGTTAAAAACATTCTGTATCTAAGAAGATTGTTAAGATTTATCTAGACAAAAAAACTATTTAAGATGAGCTACAAATCCGATATTGATAGTTGATTATGTATCAGTTTGTGTATGTCATTAATCTATCAATTTTACTATCAAAACTGCTATATATATATCAGCGACTAAAAATCTACAACTTGGAAAGTTTTAATTCTTACAGAGAATAAAAATGATCGGCTCATCTTCCTTTAAGCATCATAAACTTTAAAATGAGTTAAAAGGAATTTATTTTTACTTTAGCAACGCCAGACTTTAAATTAATATTTGGTTTTCATGCACAAATTTTTACGATATTGATAAACGAAAAATAAAGGCTGCAGTCTCATAGAATGTCCCATTAATGGCGATAAATAACCTTTTGTAGCACCCAATCTTCTTGGTAAAGAAATAGGGGACAGGAAACGTCGCGCAGTTCGTGGATTAGATGGGAGGGGGGACGGGGAACTTCGGTCAAATTTGACGCAGTTCGTACCCAACCTGCTGGGATATACGTATTATATGTTTCATTCATTCACAGTGATAGAGGTAGATGGAAGCTTTTGCATAAAAAAGTTCATGAGACATTTATTTTAGGAGAAGGGAACGTTATTGAAATAAATTTAAGAAAACAGGCTATTTCTAGCACGTCGATAATTTATAAATCTATGATAGGATCCTGACAACCTATGAAAGGTTTCATAAAATTTACACGTAGATATACTGCCATGATATAAACTGCCCAGCCATGAAGGAGCGGTCGAAAAAAATATTTGATTTTCACGTACAGATAAGGCTACAGTCGATACAATTTAAGATGGTCATTAAGAAGCGGGTGTTTAATTTTGGATGATACTTTGTTGAAACTCGTATAGCATCGATTCCACGAATGTCCAAAGAACGTTCGAAAGGAGAAGAATATAATATTGCGGATCATGTGTTGATCCGAGTCCACTATTTCGTGACGGTTGCAGATTTTTAATCAACGTCCAACAACGTCTTATTCTCGACTAGCAAGATATCGATGCGTCAGCCTGGACAAGAAAGCAAATGAGCAACTTGCAAATTAGTTCTGTATACAGACGTTGTGTGTGGCCAGACGTTTTCAGAATATGGGAGGTCCTACAGATTTGTGCTACGGGTCGCAGCATCTCATGAATACAACGTGTTGTTAATATTCCTGTAGCGAGTACTGAAGGTGAGCAGTTGTTTGCTGTGATAACATTTCAAGACTCCACGTTGGCAAACTTTGTAACGCTCCAGAAAGGCAGAATACAGCACTCGATGGTTACGTCGACACCAGACTCATGTGGTAACCTCCTAGACCTCCCATATTCGAAGACTCATTATTGGGGAAACAAACACTAGCTATTCTATTCTATTCTATTCTAAACCCACTCCACGTTACTGCAGTTCACTTTAATTTTAAGCAATAACACTACAGCTCATTTCAAAGGTAGCCTTCACAAATGAAAAGTTAAACTAAGTTTGAGTTATTTGACTGTGGCGGAGTACAGGCACTCAATCTGATTAAGGGGAAGAAAACCAGTCCTTATTCACGTTACACATGGAGGAACCTGCGAAAACTCCCCTCGTAGCTATCTCGTTCTCTAGTTTAATGATTAGTCAAATTACTAATGTTAAGAGGTCTTAACCGTTTGGCAACTGGTGGACATATTCCTAAAACAGATTAAATACATAATTCCGAAAATTAACACATTTTTACTTATCAAATAATGCCGAAGACCATGAATAAACTTACGCATAGTAGTCTCACGGTTAATGCGACTCGCTCGTCCAGTTTTAACTATTGACCGTTTGCTGTAAAAATCATCACCAACAGCATTTTGCTTAGAATACACGGAAGCTCGGTTACCTATAACTGTAACGTTACCTAGAAAGTTTCCATGAAATTTTATATATAAATCTTCAGACGACAAATTATAAGTTGAATTTGCATACTGCTGTTGATTAGATATGGAACATCGGACACTCATAGGTGAACCATCTTCCAAACTAAAATCTTTCATCCTATCTGAAATGAAAGTTTACGTTAAGAATATGCAACAAGGGATTGAAAATATTGAGCTCAAGTTTGCAGTTCAGAATTATAGGATTTTTACATTATATAAAAGCAATCTACACTAAACAGTTTTCCATGGGAAGTTGTATCCGCCAACTTTGCTTTCTGGGCATAGTTAAATAAAAGACGTTGCTCTTATCGCTTATAATAGCTTTCTTGTTATCAATAAAAATAATAAAACGTGCCATTCTCTCACTTTTAAATAACTAACTAAAGCTATTTCTAGTGTTACGAAACTATTATAATTGAACAAGTATGTTCTGTTGCTAGAAATAACCAGTTTGGCGAAGGTCATACTGTAACGAAAAGCATGCAGTTTGTATTTTAGATTATTTACTTTGAAACATGCTAAATTTCGTAAGTAACTCATTTTATGATTAAAAAATAGGAGCAAATTATTTTGAAAATTCTGAAATCACAAAAGCAGGATAAACGCTATTTGGTACTCTCATTTCCAGTAATTTAATATCTGATATTAAAGTATTTCCAGAATTTAATCAAGTATATTACAGGTTCTCGAGTATGTTGATTTTTTAAAGTATTCAGAAAATTTAATTGAGTATACTATAGGTTCTCGGATATGTTAAATTATTCCCAGAATTTAATTGAGCATACTATAGGTTCTTGGGTATATTAGAAATGTTATTAAAGTATTCTCAGAATTTATTGAGAATTTAATTGAGCATACTATGCTGTAGGTTCTAAGGTATATTAAATTATTAAAGTATTCCCAGAATAGAAGAGAAACACGCTAATGTGACAATCAAAATCGTAAAAAACAACCTTATATTTAGCGTAGGTATAATGAAACACTCAATCGATTTCGAGGGCAGCTAAAGGTCCCTCCATCAGGAGAAAGGAAATAATAGAGAAAGAAGAAAATGGAGCAGTCACAGAAACACGTAGTGCTTATCAGCACGCACGTGTTTATAACTAGATTTTTAATCAGAGCTGCACGGCCGCCTACTTTTACTGAGCCAGGCTGTCTGATCACGCAAAGAAATATTAGCGAAGGAAAATAGGGAGCGAGGGATAAATGCACATTACGCTCAAAATTGAACTTCAAATAATGGAAAGCAACCACTGACGGATTTTTACCCTCTGGTAGTACCAAGCGCGAGGAGTAACGCCATCTATCGGCAAAAATAATGAATTAAGATAGTAGAATTTTAAAGGATTAGGAAGGACTGGATTGGGACTTCAAATCATAACTAAACTTTCTAATCTTTGTGAATGTGAAAAGCCTCAAGAAAATCCAATTCGCCTATGGAAGAGCCTTGTGGATGATTTTTGGCAGACCCAAAATCAAAATTATGGTTAAAAGTCCAGCTATGATACTATTGAGCTTGTTAATTGCCTTTTGACAGGATTCATGTTCCTTGATACGAAACTTTCAACGCTCTTTTTGTTTCGCCCAATTCTTAAAACCACACTGACATGATATACTATAATTCCCCAAGAATCAAGACAGAAAACCGCAATCTTTAGAATCGAAGGGGAATTTTATTAATAGGGGAGAAACCGACTTGAAAATTGAATTTCTGGAGAATCCGTGCAACTTTATAACTAACAGAAGGATAAAATGGAAGCACGACAAGGTCATTAATATTATTTCTAACAGTGGAATGTTTTCTTTGGTGGGAATCTGAAAATTTTTTAACAGCTTTATCAATGATCACGGGAGAAAATCTTCGGGCCATAGCAACTGCTCTCAAATAATTAAGTTTATAGGTAAGCAAAGATTCTGAGAAACAAACTTCGAGCCCGCAAAATACATAATAGTAAAAAGAAGCCATTTTTTGCTTAACAGGGTGGCATGATTTAGCATGGGGTGGTAAACAAACTGCAAAGGGTTTACGGTACACAGTGGTGCTAAATCGGTTTCATTGCGGATTATAAGAAATCGAGAAGGGGAGGGATTGTGGATGTCAATTTCAAGAGTGAATTGGATGGCGGATCAATTGAATTCATAATAGATAGAATCTCGAATAATCCTCTTTATAACCGTCAAAAAGGCGAAAGTGTCGTCAAATACCGAATCCAAAGATGAAAAGATAATTTATCAAATAATTTCATCTCAAAATAGTGCATTATAATGTCAGCAAGTACCGGACTGAGAGGATTACATAGCCAATCCTTCAACTTGACGAAAAATGCATTTGGAAAACAAAGTGGGTTTGACTTAGAGAAACTTAGTAAGCGAAAAAACTCATTATTTCAGTATGTTGAAGTGAAATTCCGAGCCTAGTTTCAAGAAATTTAGGCTCCTTCGACCGAACATTAGTAAACAATGTTTGACATCAAATGAAACCATAATGGAACGAAGTGGGGAAATATTTTTAAGTTTTCAATGACTTAACAGAATTTTGAGGTCCGAGTTGAAGATCTTTTGGATCGAGCGTAGCTCATTTATAATTTTAGAGCTCAGGATCTATGTGTGTTTGTCCTACCAAGATCTGTCCGCGCTATCAGCTTTAGAGATAATGATATTAGTATCAGAAGAATCACGTAGATCTCTTTTCCTTTTTGCTAAGATTAGAAACCCAAAGTTTTATTGTTAAATTAACGTATGATATTAGGGGCGGATTGTATCCTTCGCGTTCCGAAATTTTGGAGATTTAAAGCTTTCTAATAGGGGCGATATTGAGGGAATGAAGGTTTGATGCTTGAAAGTTGAAATTATATTTTAATACTTTTAACTGTCCTCCGAAAGATCCTAAAAAGAATGTAATTCCGAAAGTCAAACTGTTCACTTGTTCTTGCTTTGCCCTTTCACAATTGTCCACTGACAGACCGATTTGTAGTACCCTAAGCGTACGAATTCTTGAATCATCTACATTTCTACTTAAATGCAACTCAAATTCATTCCCAAATTATACTGTGAAATGGAGCCTTAAAGCTTCCGTCACGTTCAAAATTTGCATAAATTCAAATTGGCACTTCTTCGCACATGAAAGGGACACCGCAAACGTTTATCTAAATTGATTTGATTATATCACCTCCATTTAAAAATTGCTAATTCACGAAAATGTTTCCTTTTGAACTTACATCCTGGTCTAGAACGATACCGTTTGTCAACGGCTAAAATGTGCTCATTTCTAATTCCTAAAACACACACCAGTCGGATGTCCCAATTATCCAGCTGATCTTCCCACTGTAAACGTTAACTCCATCGTAATATCTCCAAGGATCTTCGGAGGTCAGTTAAAAATATTAAATATAATTTCACTTTTCAAAGGCATCTAAACCTTCAGTTCCTCAAATTATAGCCTCCATTGAGAAAGCCTTTAAATTCTCCAAAATTTTTGAAACCCAGAAGGATACAATCCGCCACTTAACGTTAATCCGCCACTCATAACGTTAATTTTAACAACAAATCTTTGGGTTCGAATCTTAGCAAAGAAAATGAGATCTTACGTGAAATCATTCTGATACTAATATCATTACTCTAAAGTGATAAGGGCGGACAGATCGTTGTTATGGACAAACACACATATATTACTGGAGTCTCTAAATTGATAAATGAAGGCCCATACCTCGATCCCTAAAGATCCTTCAAATTCGGACCTCATGAAAGTAAAAAATGATATTAAATCTTCTCACATTCTGCCAACTCAGTTGAAGAAATCACTTATTCCGCTTACTAATTGCGCTAGACTTTATGCTCTCCAAAAGTCACAAAACCGGTATTCCTTTCGACCAATTGTTCCAACATAGGTACCTGCTTCATATCCTTTGGCCAAATATTTAGTTTCAGATTTCTCATCTACTGCTAACAATATTCACACTGTAAAAAATTCTGTTGAAGTCATTGATAAACTTAAAAATATTTCCCCACTTCGTTCCATTATGGTTTCATTTGATGTCAAATCATTGTTATAATGTTCGGTCGAAGGAGCACTAAAATTGTCTTGAAAAGGCTTCGGGAATTTCACTTCACACATACTGAAATTAATGAGTTGTTTCGCTTACTAAAGTTTCTCTAAGTCAAACCCACTTTGTTTTCCAAAATGCATATTTTCGTCAAGTTGAAGGATTGGCTATGGGTAATCCTCTCAGTCCGGTACTTGCTGACATTATAGCAATATTTTGAGATGAAATATTTGATAAATTATCTTTTCGTCTTTGGATCGGTATGTGACGACACTTTCGCACTTTTGACGGTTATAAAGAGGATTTATCCGAGATTCTATCTATTATGAATTCAATTGATCCAGCCATCCAATTCACTCTTGAAATTGAATCCAACAATTCCCTCCCCTTCCTCGATATTCTTATAATCCGCAATGAAACCGATTTGCACCAATGTGTACCGTAAACCCTTTGCAGTTTGTTTACCACCCATGCCAAGTCATGCCACCCTGTTAAGCAAAAAATGGCTTCTTTTTACTATTATGTTTCCGCGCGCTAAAAGTTGTTCCTCTGACTTGCTTCCAATGAACTTAATTATTTGAGAGCAGTTGCGATTGACCATGGATTTCTCCCGTGATTATGATAAAGCCGTCAAAAAAATTTCAGATTCCCACCAAAGAAGATTCCACTGTTAGAAATAATATTAATGACTTGTCGTGCTTCCATTTATCCTTCTGTTAGCTATAAAATGCACGGATTCTCCAGAAATTCCATTTCAAGTCGGTTTCTCTCTATTAATAAAATTCACCTTCGATTCTAAAAGATTGCGTTTGTCTTGAATTCTGGGGAATTTATAGTATATCATGTCAGTGTGGTTTAAATATATTGGCCAAACAAAAGAGCGTTGAAGTTTCGTATCAAGGAACATGAATCTTATGTCAAAAAAGGCGAAATTAACAAGTCTTCAATAGCGTATCATAGCTGGACTTTTAACCATAATTTGATTTGGGTCTGCAAAATCATCCAAAGGCTTCTTCCATAGGCGAATGGATTTTTGAGGCTTTTCACA